TATCCCGCTCCTTCTCTCCTCTCCTTCCCTTTGCACCTCCTGTTCCTCTCCTATTCCCCCTCTCCTGTGCCTGTGCTCTAGGACCATGAGCCGAGGATGGTTTCAGTCCACGTCTGTCTCGCACGTTCAAATTCTCCCTCGTTCACTCCCCCACCCCCCCTCCTCCTTAGCCGGCGCCTCTTCTTCCACTTCTCCAGCACGCAAGCTTCGACTGCATGTCACTCTCAGCTTTTCTTCTCCTCGTCTCGGCGGCCCGGCCGCTCTGATCCCCCTCGGGCCTTTCTGTCTCTCTTTTTCTCTCTCCCTCTCTCTTCTCTTCTTCTCGTTGCTCCGAGTCTGTCATTCACACACACTTGCGTCTTCCTGCTCCCCCTGCTTCCCCTTGTTCCCGCCCCTCTTTTAAAAACTTTCCCTCCCTTTCAGTCTCAATCCCTCCTATCCATCAAAGCATCCATCCTTCCATGTTGCCATCTTTGTCTCCGGATGGAGTCAGAAAGCTGTTGTTGCCATCTCCTCAAGCCCCTGGAGAGACAAGAAGCAGGGAAGGAAGAAGATGCTGTCTTCCATCCACGCACTGGCTGCCTGAAAGTACAGAATGCGACCCCCACTGCATTGCAGCTTTTTTTGATGATTTATTTATTGCATGGCAGCCTGACAGCTGCAAAAAAGCAGTGGTAGGTAGGCCAGCCAGTAGACAGCTAAGTAGCTGGCTGCGTGGGAAGACTCCTAGCTCATCATCTCTCTGCTGCAGCTGTCTTCATAACACTGATGGAGCCCCAGTTCCACTACATGAAGCTCAACCTTAACATGGATCTGGATTTCGCTGCATTGCGCCTTTTTCCTTCTGGCTCARTTCCGTCACTTTCCTACACTGCATTGTTAGGAGGCGCTTAATTTGCAGAGACGAGAGTGCAGTTCCTTGCGCTGCATTTTCATATGGGAGGGACTGAACTCTGCGGGAAAAAAAAGCCCTGATGCCAAGCATTCAGACATCTGCTGAGTCTGGCTAGAACTGGGTCCAGAGGGATGAAGGGATGGAAGGAGAGGGAAAGATAAGTGGTGCTGGGAAAAAAATGGGGGTGACGGCAAACGAGAGGAGCTGGGGTAGGCAGGGACAGAGGGGGCAGTGGATGTGAGCAAGAGATAACAGGATAGGGAGATAAATGGATAAAAGAAGAGTGAAAAAAGAGCGAGGGATGACAGGATTAGGGCTGTAAGTGAAGAGGATGAGAGGATGAATAGGGGATGATCTCAGGGATTAAGTACACACACCAAACACAGCAACAAACACATGCAGCCAAGCACAAACACATGCATACAATGTACACACAGATGTGCTCTGATTGGATTTATTTTGGCGCACCTTGGCTGGCAAACAAAGACAATAGTCATAGCTAACCAAAGCAAAGGCTGCAATCACGTCACATCAAACAATGATCAATAACCCAAACTGGACAATTTTATGGAAATAACCTAGATTATTGCCAGGAGAATTGTACTTCAGGGACCGCTATGGCACTTTATTAGAGTTCAGCTACTGCCTAATGACAAAAAATGGCTAAAAACAGGCAGATTCAACTCTGATCTGTTTAATGCAAATAGCAGCAGATTGACATATCAGGCTTAAAATGTCAGAGCAGCCATGAAACCCCTCACACACAGCATCAGGGATCCACAGAAGCCTGTCACCATTTCACATACTTGTATTGATACAGGCAGACCTACAGGCAGTTCAAACACACATAAATAATATAAGACAGGCACGTCACCAAGACAAATGTACTGCAGCAACGAACAAGCCAATCTTCCTGAGCTAGGCTTGGCTAACTCCATTTGCATGATAACCAGAGAGGCCTTAATATGTGCGTGCTCAAGGGCAGAATATATTAGCAGGGATTATTTTTAAATCATTTATAAAACAAATGCAGAAGTGTGTGCTGGCTCCGAATTTAGCAAAAGATTAGAGGAGTTCAAATATACCTCACATTAGTTGTGCTCTCTGCTCAGGTATTTGTCTTGCAAGCAGATGAACCTGAGTCTGTGTGATTCTGTGCCCTGCAGGCAAGCCATTATAAATAAGTTGTTTCTGTTCCCACTCTGCCTCGTGCTCGCCTTTAATCTGCTGCACTGTGTTTATTTTCTCGTGTCAGGTGAGCGTTCAACCAAAAATAACAACAACAGTCACAGAGGACGAGACAGTGAAACCTAAATGAAACTCATTCTAAACTTTACAGCAACATTATCAGTGTCTCGGTTTTTACCGAGGGAATAAGAAGACGTGGGGAATCAAGCAAAGAATGCAAGAGAAATTTGAGGTCTAGCAGAATCACCCATCTTGAGATGAAGGGAGGAAGGCTTGGGGTGGGGTGGGGGTGCTCAGGCTCACAGACCAACACCCCCCTCCTGTGGCACTGCCAGAGAGCTGCACATCCCAAACACTGACAGGAGATGCAAGCACACAAAGAGCTACACATGCTAGATCTCCAAACCACATTTAAATGGGTTTGTTTGCGAACACACACACATACACACAGGTCTTGAAAAGSTTTAAGACACTCAGTGTGCTCTGCTGCTGGAACGTAGATATCCAAACAGATACCCTGCCTGGGCGCCACACACACATAAGGCACTGATTACTGGGAGCAATATGCACTGAGAAACACAATGAGAACAAAACCGAGAAAAAAAAGAGGAAAAGATGAAGGGTGGGAACACGTGAAAAGGATAGGAGCAGTTTTGCGAAAAGACCCTTGCATGCAGAGAGTGCAGAGCTCAACTCGAAGCAGATGATAGGATCATTTTGTTCCATTTTCCAAAGATCGAGTCACAACCAGCTCCTCTTCTGTTCAACACTTTTCACAGATATCATTTTTCAGGCTGAAAGGAACATCTGAACTGTCTACAAACTCATACACAAGGTCARTCCTGCTCTTGGACTATTTGACAGCAAAAGTAAGTTCATATAGTCAAGAAGAATTAAAATTCATAAAGCTTTTAATGTGTAATCAGCTCAAAAATATTTCCAATTTGTCAAAAACTAGGGCATTAGAACATAAAACATTTATTGTCATCACAATATCACTGTAAGCAATAGACCAGAGATTCTTAACCTATGGGAGCGCCACCTTGAGGGCCTCAAAAGAACAACAGTTTTTAACTTTGGGCCCGCGGGACTGCATCGATTTTGAATAAGGTGCAATACACTTTCTCACCACTAGTAGCGGTACTGCGTCACTCACATGTTTAACAACTTTTTTTAATACGTAGAAGAAGAAGCTTAGAAACCTGCCGAGAATGGAAACCTATTTTAAATTAAAAGTAGAAGGCAAAAATGAAGGTAAACCATCAAAAAATGCCAAAGTTTGTCACTAAATATGAAGTGCAGCTTCTGGTTCTACCATGCAATATTTTAAAAGTTCAAAACATTATCAAATACAGTTGCAGATACAACTATATTTTAATTTGCACTTTATCTAATTAATTTTTGCAATTTATTTTTAAGCATTTTGTCAAAAAGCTGTTGTTACTGTTACTGTTTGTCACTAATATGAAAAACAGCTTCTGGATCTACCATGCAAAAGTTTAAAAAGGCTTTATTTTCATTTGCACTTTATCAAATTTATTTTTAGTTTATTTTATTTGGAACATTAAATATTTTTGAATGTATTTATTTTATGAACATGATTTTATTTATTGAATTGTCTATTTTTGTTGTTTATGTTTAAAAAAATGTTATTTTTGTCTGTGATGGACTTGTGACCTGTCCAGGATGTACCCCGCCCCTCGCACTGTGACTGCTGGATATGAGCACCAGTGACCCACGCGACCCTGAAATGAAGAGGCGTGTACAGAAGATGGATGGATGGATGGATGGATGGATGGATGGATGGATGGATGGATGGATGGATGGATGGATGGATGGATGGATGGATGGATGGATGGATGGATGGATGGGTTATTTTTGTGTTGATAAGCCTGATTGGTCTGTTGACTGACTGTTGTATTTTTTTTTTTCAAATAATTATGGGCAGGTTACAATATAAAAAAATGTTTGTCATAATCATGTCTTGTGATTATTTGACAGGAGTTTTACTTTTAAACTGTAAGTGTATTTTATTAGTTATAATGCAAATACAATACAAATTAAACCAAGATTTAGAATAATTACAATTTTAAATCAAGATTTAGAATAATTATCATTTTGATCCATATGGTAATGTGTGACTGAACTTCATGTCACTTTATGTTGAACATATTGGGCCCAGAGGTCAAAAAGATTAAGAACTCCTGCAAGAGACAACACAAAAGGACCGCGATAAATTGCAGATGCAAAACTGCATGTCAATCAGATGACTCCCATATAGTTGCTGACACACTAAAATAAATGGAAAGTGTTGAGAGAAGAGGAGTGAAGCAAATGTGTGTTTATCACAACTAAATTCCAGTAGGCTGTTTGTTCTGGCTGACAARAATAAGTTATATTTAGAAAGGTTTAACTCATTTCTGAATGAATTTTGACACATAACATTTGCAAAATACGGCAAAGTTAATTATTCCTTCCCCTAAAAATAGTGAACACTGTTAGTTGTGGATCAGATTTTTCTTTTTGGCACCTTGTAAGAAAGAGTTTCATCCTCCTGTATTAGAAGGTCACATGGTTTTAATGAGAAGGTTGAAGCACTGTTCTAAGAAATCTGACAGGAGAGGTACCAGTCAGTTGAGTTTGTGGCAAAACCTCTACAGTACACAGCTATGAATCTTTTTTGTTTAAAAATTTCTCTACTTTGAGTGTCTTGTTGCACACCTGACATTCGTGATTTGCTTACTGTTAACGTCATCTCTTTGATTCCATTAACAGGATTTGAGGAACTGAACTTTTACAGGTTTCAGAGCAACCAGACGACTGAAAACCAACATTTATTGAGAGCGCGAAGGATTGTCGCAAATACTTCGGTAATTTACTGTAACAGAAATTTGCAAGTACATGCTTCATCTCTTACCTGACTGTGAGGTGGGTATCCATGGAAACCAGGGTTCAAAGGCTCATTGTTCTGCAATAAAAAAGGAGGGATATGATCAGTGTAAGTAGGAATGCGCGATATAAACGATATACGGTAGAAACGATATAAATTTGTCCTATGATAGAGATCTGTAGTCTACCGGCCAACCGCGCAATTCTTTTGATGACTTAACCGGCTGGAGTCAAAACAGAGGAAGCGGGAAGCAGCGTGGCTGACAGCGCAAATGAAGAGGGGGAAAAAAAACTCATCTGGACCTGGTTCGGGTGTGCGAAAATGAACACCAAACTGTTTACATATTTACGTGACGGCGCGTCCTCCGGTCGGATGCCAACCGACCACACTGCCTGCTGCGGGAGGAGCGYGCGCCGCKGCATGTGTGAAGGGCTCGACACACGGGAGGCGACGTCGCTCGCTCTCCATTCATTTCCACGCAGCGAGGCGACTGTCAGTGCAGGTGARGTCAGTGCTCAGSTGGGACGCACAAAAATCAGTCTGGACCTCATTTCTCCTGCGGTCATAGCGCGACGACGCACGGCCAAATGTGCACCCACTCCAAAGCGTGACTATAATGATTGTAACCCCGCCGGAGCGCGCACAGATTAAACATGTGGAGAGCAGAAAAAATAATCTGCAAAGTGTGTAGAAAGGAATAAATTCAAGCAATTTGTTTTACCACCTTAAAACGAAGC